TTTTTTTTTTTTTTTTTTTTTTTTTTTTTTTTTTTTTTTTTTTTTTTTTTTTTGATAAATTAAATTAAATGAGTTGTTAGAAAGAAACCCAATTGTTTAATAAGGCAACAAAAGTAAAAACAGAGAAACAAATATTAGTCCATTCAAAGCTGGAACAAAAGAAGAGAAAAATTGAAGCAGTGAACTTTTTAGTTTTCCCTCCATATCTCATCCAGTGAACTCCCAACGGATCCTCTGGCTTACAAACCACAAAGGCTTAGGTTGTTTTATATTTTTAGCGGTAATTAGATTGCAATTATGTGCAAGTTTTTTCCTTTATGTATTAGGTTTTTCTTCTACTAAAGATAGGTCCCTTTTAACCATTGTGAATATTAGGAAATAGACCAATGTTTTGTTCGTATATCTATTATGATTTAGCATCCCTGAAATTTTAAATAAGAAAGGGAGAGGTAGGATCTTATAATTCTTACAGATGGATCTATTGAACTCTCACAATGTTTTGTTCGCTGTCAAACCTGCCTATATGGTCACAAAAACAGGGGCAAACTTCACCAAGATACGAAGCTTTGTCTAAATGGGGCTAAGAACAACCAGATTGTGCCAATAGGGCTGCCTGCAGTCAATTGGATGGAAGGAGTTCTCCAACCTTAACAGAGAATTATTTCTTGATTTGTACATGGAAGGTCTTTTCGATGGAGATTGACAAGAAGTTTCCATCTATCACAGAAATCATTAAGGCCAATGCTTTGTGTGGGTGAGGCATAAAATGGGTAGGTGAAATTAACAAGAGGAAGGCTATCATGGGTTTGTAGTTGCAAAACAAATCATTGATGTGATCCATAAATAGATGGAAGGCTATCATGCACATGAACAATTGTTGGTCCACAATTAGTGACAACACAAGGAGTTTGAAGTTTTGGGAAGAACACTTGCACCAAAAGACATCACTCGTTCTCAAAGAGAGTGGATCAAAATCTAAAATCTACCCTTAAATATATAAAATCTAGAAACATCTATGGCAATAAGGGACCTTATGGAGCATTAAGTGAATCTTCCAAACGGACGTCTAATTTTCAGTACTACCAGGAAGCAGAAGTGTGCATTAAAGTAGAGGATATTACAACAGCTTCATCCCTTTAAACTTGCAACAATGTTTGGTACATGACATATCAGATTCAGTCACCAAAGAGTCTAAGGTATCAACTAAAAAGAGTAGAGCACAGTGCCTACAATCAGCTAGATAGCACGATTAGGGGATGCAATTATCCTATATGATTTCCTTCAAATTTAAAGCAGTGAAATTGTGGATTCATTCCGAACTACAAGGTAGATATAATGCAAAAATGTGGATCATAGAACTAAACCTGCATCATGCGCATGTCAAATCGACCAACAAAGACAGTCACTGAAACAAGTAGATCAAAAACAGTCTTGAATAAATCAGCAGAAGTTCTGCAAAAAACCATCAAAAGAATACTTCAAAAATCTATAAACATGCACACCCACATTAAAGGAAGGAAAGCGATCAAGAATCATAGTAAACATAATACCCTGAATACCAAGGAACCATATCAAGGAAATCAGGCCTCATTTGCTTTTTCTTCAGCTTTTCATATTCTTTAACAGATAAAGGATGAGAAAGAGCCCACCTGTTAATCATACAAATTAATTAAGCAACCAAAAGAAAATTATACTCCACGTGCAACTTCAAAATCCACAAATAAATCATTTAATGGTAGAAAATGAGATGAAAAGTATTATAAAACCTAAAAAATAGCTCCAGCCAGATTCATGCTTCAAAAAGGTAAAGTGATATCCTAGACCCAACCAAAAGGGATAAAAGTTAAAGCTGAACAAAACTGACTAAGAGAAAAAAAAAAAAAAGCAAACCTGACATAAAATAATTTGATTCCATATTCTCAAGTCAGTTCAATTGGTTTTCTTGATTAAATCAGTTCAATTGTATTCAATCAATGACTCTAAATAGCGTGAACAATTAAGAGACCCCTACTAAAATGATGAGAAATGGAAGTGGAAAGGCGTAGGGACTTGCAATAGAAAAATGCTTGAGCGTCGACTATATAAATTCCAATAAGGAACATGCAGACTAAAGAACATAATATCATTACTATTTCAATCTTAACCTAATCAAGACATCTTCAGCTCCTAGACTCCTACTAAAATGATGAGAGTTAAATACTAATTAAAAAGGGAATATCAGGTAGAGCAACCGCCAAATACTTACCCTGTCGACCGTTCCACCACATAGTTTGCAATGTAAAGGCCAATGAATGTAGCCCAGAGTGAGTATATGGGTGAAATACCATCAGATGGACCAGCGCACGAGCCATTACACGCTAACTAAAGCAGTGAAAGAAGGTGACATGAGAAAAACAAATGAAAAGAATATAACACAAACACATACAGTAAACCCACGTATTAACAGAGATGAATTCTATATGCACCTCGCTATAAATTACCCACTTAGACAAAAGTGGGTAATCACTTGCAGACCCAACGGGTGCGAACCAAGACAAGCACACCTGATCCTTCATTTCATTTACGCGAAGAAATTTTGCAAGCCAAGAGTTTCTCTCTTCCTTCTTCCAGAAAGTAAACCAATTAGAGGTTCTCCGCTGAAGTGTTCTGTCTTTCAAGACAGCACTATTGCCACAGTGACTGTAAAACACACAGCAGGCTATACTTATGACCTACACCATGAATGAGAGCAAGAATTGATATAGCAACATGGGAAAAGAGAATGTAATAGTAAACCACAGGAGGCATCCACAGAACTTACAGCACAATTCTGAAAAATTGCCAATAGCTCAGGCCTCTTTCCAGCAACACGTGAGACCAAACCAATATACCAGAGGCCAATAAAGAGAACATGAAATACTGCAAGAAACAGAATGGAAGAGATGTATATCGTTATGAACATTGAAAGATTCATCCTTATATCCACTCCCATTGACTGAAAACTTGGAAGATGATACACAGCTGCCACTAAAATCCAGGCTATGTACCTGAAAACATCAATAACTCAAATTTCCACGAGCACATATACACGGCTAGGAAGTATTAAATGTCAAACAAAAGCAGTATAATTGAGACGTGGAAACTCACCACCGACTGAAATTTGAATAGCTAGGTTTAATGGTTTTCCCAATAAATGGTGATGAAAAGAAATAAAAGAAACCAAGCAAACATGAATACATAGACCACCATTTGATATTCTGATCCAACTTGTCGATGAGCGTGTGCATGTTGTCAGAAGATATAAAAAATAAGCAACCAACCACAACCGCAATGATAGCATGACGTGAATGCTCATGAGGATACGGATATGTATGAGTGAAGATGGTCCGAACCCTCTTCATTTTGAGGGTATCTAATAAACCAACAGAGATGTTGTCAGAGCCCATAGTCCTGCACGCACGAAGAATATCACTTCGTTTAGATAAACAAATCCAATCCTACTTCTTCAATACATCTAGGGCATCCACCCATCAAGAAACATAACAAAAATTACAATTCAAGATTTCACGAACAATAATCTTAATGCATCTTCCAGTATTAACTTCATTTCAAATGCTTAACTTGCAAGTTCTTAATATCGTAACAAACCTAAAATCACCAATCCTCATCAAACAAAGACCTCCTCCTCCCCGTCGTCAATCACGAAGAAATCCAAAACCCTAAAAGTTTCACACCAAATCACAACCGCTTCAAATGTTTCAAAAAAAAAAGGCTCCACAAACGAAAGACATCGCAAATTCAATTTATGTGCCAAACGGAAGAACCGAAATCAAAGAACATGCAAAATTAGGCATCAAATGAAGTCATATTGCCAGGAATCAAACAGGAAACAGAAATTCAAAAAGAGAAACGGAGAAAGAAAAGCACATACCAAATAGAACCGGTGCGAGAGGAACGAAAGAAGAGAATAGACTAGAAGTTGATGAAGCAATATATAGAAGAAGAAAAGGGCATCTTCTCAAAGGTCGTGTGCATCTGAGTCTCTGAGAACGTCTGCTGCATTAAAGAACACAACCATGGCATATTCCTTTGGAACCAACAAGACGATGACGAGGCCTCGTTACAGAGAGGCTCGACGACACGGGGCCTCGCACGTAAACCAATTGCCAGTGCGAGTGGGAATTCATTGACTCGCAGATTTGCGTGCCTTTCACGGTTCGTTCCTTCCGTCCAAGAATTGGTTCGGTTAATTTCTCGCCTTTTTTTCGTTTTTTTTTTCTTTTATTTATTTATATTTTTGGACGGTCCACATTTAATGTGGGAATGAGCGGATAGATAGAGGGGCCTATGGATGATACGGCGCCGTCTCAAGGTTCTCGTGTCCGAACTTCAAACTTGGACGGCGGGATTATTATTGGGTCTTCCTCAATTTGTGATGCTGACGTGTCTATTCACTCTTTGGACGGTTTAAAATTTCATGGCCAATTTATACATAATTACCATTATCTCCTTAAATTTTAAAAATTTAAAATTGTTACTAAAAAATATTTATATGAAGAATTAAAAATGGTTGTTAATGTTATATTAAATTAAAATAGACGATAACAAATTGGTAGCTTAAATTAAATTATAAATGATGTCATGGTTTTTTTTTTTTTTTTTTTTTACAATCAGCTTGCATTAATTTATGTCTTATATTAATAAATAAATAAATAAATAATAATAACAAATTTTAGAAGGGTAGTTTTGGAAACCATTTTAAAATATCTCTCGATTTTGGTGTGCAACTTAGGTGGAGGGCGAAAAAGGCCCCCTTCCAGGGCTCCAGCCATCATTGAGAAACTATTCTGAAAAAGCTAGAATTCTAACCTTGTGTCATGACCTACGGACCAAGCGACAGTTTCTATGGGGTGTATGCCTCCTGAAAGGTAATGGAGGCGTGCAAATGTTTCCTCTAGCCAGAAGGAGATGACCTACGGGCCAAGGGACAGTTTCTATGGGACGTAGACCTCCCGAAAGATAATGGAGGCGTGCAAATGTTTCCTCTAGCCAGAAGGAGATGACCTACGGGCCAAGGGACAGTTTCTATGGGACGTAGACCTCCCGAAAGATAATGGAGGCGTGCAAATGTTTCCTCCAACCAGAAGAAGATTGACTCTCGAATGCAAAGGCAAAATGGAGATTTACTACAAGACCCACCCGTCGAACAGGGACAAAAATCAGCCTTAGTGATTCGAGAGTGGAAGGGTCGTTGAAAATAAATTTTTAGTATAATAAACTAAAAATTAATATGATTAATTGTTTTTATTTTTATAATAAACTCAAAGATGTTCGAGAAAGATTTAATTACATTTTAAATAAATGAACCTTAATTATTAAGGAAAAATGTTGAAAGAGTTTATTTCTTTTAAATTAATTTTATTAAAAAAATAAGCTTTCATTCTTGTACGGAAAGACAAAAAAAAAAAAGTTTAAAGTGTTTTTTAGTATTTAATAAAGAAAACATTTAATACACTTCTTGAGTTATGAAATTCTTTTTTTAATAAAATAGAAACAATTTGTATTATTTTAATATTATTGTCAATTTTACATAAATACTTTAATAAAAGAATGTCTGAGAAACTTGATGAGAGAACTTTCTGGTTAGCCCGTTGTTTTTTTTACTAATATTAACAAAATTGTTCACATTTAAATAATTGATTGTTTAATTATTTAATTTATTTTTATATTTTTAGTTATCGGATGCATGAAATATAAGAATTTTATGGAAACAAATAATATTTATATTTATTTTATAGAATTAATCTTGAAAGGTTTATATAAAATCTAATAAATTAATTAATAAAGTAATTAAAATTAATGAACATATTAATAAAAGTTAATTAATTAATAATCAAATAATAAATATTTAATTAATAAGAATCCTTGATTATATTAATTTAATAAATATTTGTCCATGACATAAATTAAATAGATATTTTAATAAATAAATATTATTTGTTTATAATAGTGAAATATTTTATCAATTCAATTAGTTATAGTACAATAATGTTAATTATAAATATAATTCAAATCCATGAGTTCTAACTAGTATAAATATATTTTAATAAATAATATAAAAAATGATGCAGTAATAATGAATGTTAATGAATAATAGAGCAAAAAAAATTATAATTATGATAATTAATAATAAATCAACTAACTAAAATTAATCTCAATAACTAATCAATTATTAATATGGAAAAATAATATGTACTCGTTAAATTTAGCTAACTCAATAAACTAATTAGTTAATAATTTCAATAAATAAGCTATTATGTCTATTAATAAATTTAATAAAAAAAATAATTAATTTTAATAGACTAAATTCGAGTGGTTATTTAATTAAGTATATTCAAAATAAAATTACTAAATCATATATAATAATATTTTATTTTAATGTCTAACTTCATAAGTGTTACATGGATTTAGAGTATCACAGATTCATTTTCATTCTTCATTAACTGATTAAATCGAAACTATTCAACCGCAACTTTTAAATTGTTGATATGCAGTCAAATTTAAAAAATGTGATCTCAATTTGAGCATAACTCAACTGATTAAATTATATATTACAGCAAAAAAAATTAGAAGATACGAACCTTTATTCTCATATATTTAATTTTTTTATTGAGTTAACTGATTAAATAAGTTAAGTCCATGTGTGATTACGTCATGAAGATATCCATGAGTCGGGATGACTTATTTGTTTCCATCCATGCCCCTCACTTCATTCTTCGTTTCCATACATGTGGTTGTATATACAATGTCTTGGAAAACAAAATATTGAGTTCATACAATTTCTTCGTCTGGTTCAACCTACTCAAATTCTATAACAAAACCCGAACATCAAATCTTAATAATTCATGATTGTTACTGACATTTTGACTTTGATCTATAATTTGATAGTTTCCATTGACGGAATGAAAGTGATAGAATGAAAATTGAAAAGGAAATTCGAGAGAAGAAAATAAAATGCAATATTGGGGTTAGCCGAGCAGATGAGGTAGGAGGTCAATAGCTTGATGTGGACGATGCATTTTTAGACGAGTGTAGAGTTTGACCTTTTGCTATTTTTGTTTTTATTTCTATGATATTAATTTAATAAAATTTATATAACTATGATGTGTTAATTAATGACATAAATTAATTGGTTGTTAGAGATTGATATTTTTAATTGAATAAATAATTATAAAAAGTTAAATTTTGTATACTAAATTAAATGAGAACATTACTAATTTCAATAAATAAATAATTATATTAATGTAGTATATTTTATAATAGACAAAATTAAATTTATAGACTTAGTTTAATGTTCAATTTCTTTCATTTATATATAATATATATACTTTTAACTAATTTTAAATAAAATTTATTGAGAGAGAAATTATAAATTTTTATATGAAAGTGACCTCTATAAAATTATAAATTTACCACAAATTACTATAAAAATGTTTTTTTAATGAAAATTCATTATTAGACATGTTTTTAATTATTGAATTAAAAGTGGTTAATTTATTACCATGAATAATTAATTAAGTTAATCTAATATATTATTTGAGAATATATTTATAAATTTGGTTGGCTATAAAAACAATTTAAATAATCTAATTAAATAAGTATGGATATCAGTAAAAATAATTTTTAAATTTGTAATTGTGTTTAATAAAATTTTTAAATCATTTTACATTTTAAAAATTCACTAGTTAAATTATTCGCTATTAATTGAAATTTTGATAATTTAATTCTCCCATTAATTAATTAATTATATATATATATATATATATATATATATATATATATATATATATATATATATAT